ATAGATTTCTCAAACATGCATGAATGAGACAAAGCAACATCCCGTGTATGTTTTTGATGAGATTATGACATCATAACATGATTTAAAGCTCAAAACAGCTGGTTTTACATATTTTAAAGGGTTACACTGTAAAATCTTCAGTCCGTCTGAAGCTTCATACACTTTATTTGATATAAACCTTTTAACAATGTGATTTAAAAAAGTCAAAATGTGTTTCTATTGTTAGTAGACCTCAGTGCAGACCCAGAATTTGCTGATTCAGTATCCTGTCTGTCCTAGAGCTTGTTGGGATCCACCATGAGGAGTGGGATGTCTGGGTTTCCCTTTTGGACCTGTTGCCTCCTCGACCTGACCCCAGATGTGCAGCAGAAGTTGAAGAGATGAATATTTATAATCTTTTCAAACTTCTCAGCAGCTTCCACCTTTGGTTTCTTTACCACATGTACAGTGGTGCACTCAAGGATAAATAGGACATATGCAAAATCCACTTTTTCAGCTGCATTTTGTTTACTCTGAGTGTCTTAGAAGTGCAGAGAATTTAGTCTCTCCCGGTGCCGCATAGACATCTTCATATTCTGTCTGTGGCATATTTTTCAGTTTTCTCTATTTTCTTTGACATTTCCTTCACAATTACATCACAGTTTTTGCGACAGACCTGCAAAAAGGGGTGAAAGAGGGGCTTGTGGCGTGACAATAAGGAGACATTCAGACAAAAGCATTGCAGTTACACTTTTTATAGGCYCCAAATGAATGATTTAAATGTGAAAAAGAACTTAAATCATCTTTAAAGTCAGTTTGAAACATGACTTTAATGCAACAAATCTGATCATGCTGTGTTTTAGCAAACCTTATGTGCAAGAAGCCCTGTTTAAATGAGCTGTATGACACGTTTATCCGTGTCTTGTAAGATGATGCAGAAAGCTCGCCGTTCTCTGTCCTTTCTCATCAGATTCAGCTCTTAATGCATTTGCTTCAGCTGCATATTCAGTCGTTTCACAGTCCCGGCCTCAGTCCTCCTTTCTCTGCTTGTCTTTAATCTCTGAAGTCCTTTTCTCCTGTCTCTCTTATGCTTCAAAGCAACCTTTAATCTTTTTATTTCTAAAACCTTTTCACTTAGCTGTCTGACCAGCAGTAAACACCACCTGAGTGGTGCGGTGGTGTCAGATATCTGTAGGTTTGGCTTTGGCCCCGTGCTGCACACGACTGCATGTAATCCAACATTTGTCCCTGAGTGTGGGGAGGGTAATCCTTAATCCAGGAGTGATGGCTGAAGTCCGAAGCTTCACATCACAAAGAGGGCGAGTTTGTTTCAAGAGCTTTGCTCAGCACAGGAAACCTGTTGCTCCTAAAATCTCTTCACTGATCTCAGTTTTACCAGCATCATGTTAAAGTCAAATACAAGGAGTAAATAGAAATGCCTGTCTGTCGCCTCCAAGTGACAATTTTCTTCTTGTGCTTTTTCTTTTTCATAAGTATAATGTAAAAGATTTTCATTAACAAGAAAACTATCTCGTTATAACGAGAAAACTATCTCGTTATAACGAGAAAACTGTCTCGTTATAATGAGAAAACTATCTCGTTATAACGAGAAAACTGTCTCGTTATAACAAGAAAACTATCTCATTTTAAAGAGAAAACTATCTCGTTATAACAAGAAAACTATCTCATTTTAAAGAGAAAACTATCTCGTTAACGAGAAAACTATCTCATTATAACGAGAAAACTATCTCGTTATAAAGAGAAAACTATCTCGTTATAAAGAGAAAACTGTCTCGTTATAACAAGAAAACTATCTCGTTATAACGAGAAAACTATCTCGTTATAACGAGAAAACTATCTCGTTTTAAAGAGAAAACTATCTCGATATAAAGAGAAAACTATCTCGTTATAACGAGAAAACTGTCTCGTTTTAAAGAGAAAACTATCTCGTTATGAAGAGAAAACTATCTCGTTATAACGAGATAGTTTTCTCATTATAAAGAGAAAACTATCTCGTTATAATGAGAAAACTATCTTGTAAAAACAAGAAAACTATCTTTTTAAATCAAGATAACCATCTCGTTATAATGTGTTATGATTTCTTCTCGTTTGTCACTTTCACGGAAGTTTATTGCCTGGATGGAGAACATGACTGAACCACTATATATAAAAAAAACAACAGAATTATCTGGTTTTGTGCTCAGATGTTGCAGCTAGTAGCACTTAATAATATTCACTCTCTAATCTGAATTTGGCCCCGATTATTTCTAAAACATTATTCAGCACTAACTTGTCATTTTTCAGTCTAGAAATGTGTTCCTCTTGCAGATTTCTTCTTCATAAAAAGGCAAATAGTGAGACTCAGTCGGGTTCTACATCACGCCATCCAGGCAATAAACTTCAGTGAAAGTGACAAACCAGAAGAAACTATAACATTTTATAACGAGATGGTTATCTTGATGACAAGATAGTTTTCTCGTTTTTACAAGATAGTTTTCTCRTTTTGATTAGAYAGTTTTCTTGTTATAACAAAATAGTTTTCTTGTTTTTACAAGATACTTTTCTCGTTTTTACAAGATGGTTTTCTCATTATAACGAGATAGTTTTCTTGTTATAACAAGATAGTTTTCTTGTTATAACGAGATAGTTTTCTTGTTATAACAAGATAGTTTTCTTGTTATAACAAGATAGTTTTCTTGTTATAACGAGATAGTTTTCTTGTTATAACAAGACAGTTTTCTTGTTATAACGAGATAGTTGTCTTTTTATAACGAGATAGTTTTCTCCTTATAACGAGATCCAGTTTAAAAATAATTTCATGTCACGTGGCAGCTCTACGCTTTCGTAGTTTAAAAAGAAAGTATAAATCAAAAACATAAAGAACATTATTATTTTGTTTATTAAAGAAAAAAACGTCTCTTTTGAGAAAGGCTTTTTAAACCAGAGTCAAAGACAAATGGAAATGTTTATTTCCCCTTTGGTGAACCCTACACTGCTCAGACAAGGACATAACTCTGGGAAATACCTGCAAACTTTAGTGGCACAAAGATGGGCTAAAGGATACAGCAGCAGATACAACCGTAGTAAGAGTCAGGTTATTTTGAAACAAATACCCAAAAATACGTAGTTAAACTTATTTTTATCTGTTTGATACAATAAGAGGCAGTTTATACCAGGATATAATAATGGTCAATAATGCCCAATAGTTGTTGGCATCATCTAGTAGCAAAAAATTGTGATTACGACCAGTTCAGTGCCCCTCAGATACTTTTATTTTTGTAATTTTCAAAAATTATTTTAACAGCTGCTTCAAGTTCTTTTTTAAGTAAAAAAAATAATTGGGAGGGGCTTTAGCAGACYGGATGGAAGTCACTCATGAGCCAGATGCAGCCCACAAACCACTAGTTGCCCATCCCTGGTTTAGAGGGTCTTTACTTTATTTTTGTTTTTCAAATTTCTTGAAAAAAGGGAAAATTTTTAAAGTATTTATTTATGCTTCTTCACTCATTTAAAAAATGTTTTCATCTTGTGCCTATAAGTCCTCAAAACTGAGATCCTGAAGCTGATTAAGAACCACCATCATGAAAGATGTTTTTCAGTGCATCTTACAGTTCAGCAGTTTGTTACTGAAACCTATTTGAGCAACACACCTCTTCACATGCAAATAAACTTTGTACAAGATGTTAAGACAATAAATGAAAAAAATATTATCAGAAAAGCTAATTAAATGGAAACGAATCAGCCCACAAAGTACAGAGGTGTTATCACAGAGGCAGTTAATCTCATTAAAATTAACATGTTTCAACTTGAAAATATGAACTTCATCAGTTTAAGTGAAAAAATCAGTGAAGATTTTCCTCAGCTGTAATCTGATGAGCTGGAGTTTCAATAAAAATTTAAAACTGCTTCTGTTTATTTTATTTTTTTAACTAGTTTCCATTTTTTCTAAAATGTCAAACCTTTTATTTCTTTGTGCCTTGTGGTTTTAGTTTATTCAGTGAATAAAGTCTTTTTTTAATGCCATAGGTTATCTTCAAACTCATTTATTTGGCTGCTTCTTGCAGATATTTTGCCCAAATCTCTAAAGTGTTTGAACATAATCAGCAAGAAAAAAAAAAAAAAAAAAAAACCACTTGATCTACTATAATTACTTTAGGGCCCAGAGGGTCTTTATAGCTGACAATAAAACTAAATTAATTAGACAGAAAACAGAGCCCAAGT